TATGCCAAGTGTGCAGACTGTGATCACACGACTGTGGCCACCAACATTTCAAAATCAGGTCATAAGTAGCTCTGGGGAGGCCCGTCGAAAGTTTGAACAGTCATTAAGGAGCACCTGTAGTTTGACTTCAATACAGGTCATCCTCAACTTACAATAGCTTGATTAGTGACCATTCAAAGTTACAACGGCACGGAAAAAGAGTGACTTATGACCGTTTTTCACACTTACGACATTTGAAGCATCCCCCCAGTCACGTGCTCAAAATTCAGATGCTTGGCAACTGATTCATATTTATGATGGTTGCAGTGTCCCGGGGTCACGTGATCCTCTTTTTACGACCTTCCGATAAGCCAAGTCAGTGGGGAAGCTTAAGCTTCACTTAACAACCATGTTCCTAATGTAACTACAGTGGTTCACTTAACAACTGTGGCAAGAAAGGTCACAAAATGGGGCAAAACTCACTTAACAAATGGCCAGCTTAGCAACAGACAATTTTGGGCTCAATGATGGTTATAATTCAAGAATGACCTGTCCTTCACCTCCTCCCTCCGACTTTATTGGTACAAATTTGCAGAGATGAGAAAGGCCCCACTGATGATATGTGACCAGAATAAAAGGAAAACATTGGATTTTAAAAATCAATGGAAAGAAACTAGATTGAGAACATTTGTGGTCTTACAGATGTTCTGTGTTAATGATTCACGACTGATCAAGGGAGCATAAGCAGAGAATGGGGTGGAAGGAATGTCTGGTGGGGAGGTGAGAAGGACACTATTGTTGTGATTCCTCACCAGCCAGTGGATCCGGCAGCTGAGTCTGAGAAATCAGAGGAGGAGGAGGGGCCTGGAGTGACATCAGAGTAAGAGGAAGGCTCTGGGGAGCTCCAAGACTTACAGTTGGAGGAGGAGTCTGGCCCCTCTATTCGTGATCAGGCTGAGACACAGCTGTGCTGGGAGCCTGAGTTGGACAGTGATGAAGAACAGCTGGGACAAATCCAGGATGCACGAAAGTGCAGGCAAGAGAAGCGAGTAGGACAGAGGAATGCAATGGGGTGGCTCCAAAGGCAAAGGAGAAAGCATTAGGAAGCCACACCTTGGCTGAATTATAAAAGGGAAGGTGTGGGAGTTGCTGGTTGCCGAAGGCAGCCGTTCATGTTGAGGATCGAGTTTCTGTGGACTGCGTTTGTTTGCCTTGGACATTGACTCGGGTTTGTGAGAATAAAAGGGGTTGGTTTTTTCTTGCGGTTCCTGCCTTTTTCTTGGAAGAGGGGTTTCTCCTTGTGAGCTTAACAAGGACTCACGTAGGCTGGGACAGAACAACTATCAATTTCAGAAAGACAAAGCTACAATAATTATAGACTTGAACCCATCTAGGTACCTTTCTTATTCTGCAATCTTATTGAGAAAGGTCAGGCTGTCATAAGATACGATTCTGTGGGAAATCAATCAGAATAGAGTTAGAAGAGACCTTGGACGACTTCTAGTCCAACCCCCTGCTCAAGCAGGAGACCCTGTACCATTTCAGACAGGAGCATATCCAATATCTTCTTGAAAACCTCCAGTGATGGATCATCCACAACTTCTGGAGGCAAGCTGTTCCACTGGTTAATTGCGCTCACTGTTGGGAAATTCCTCCTTAGTTCCAGATTGCTTCTCTCCTTGATTAGTTTCCATCCATTGTTTCTTGTCCTACCTTCAGGTGCTTTGGAGAATAGGTTGTCCCTCCTCTTCCTTGTGGCAGCCCCTTAAATATTGGAATACTGCTGTCATGTCCCCCTCTAGTCCTTCTTTTCTCTAGACTAGCCAAACCCAAATCCTGCAGCTGTTCTTCATATGTTTTAGCCTCCAGGCCTTTAAATCATCTTAGTTGCTCTTATTTGCCCTTTTTCCAAAGTCTCAACATCTTTTTTGTAATGTGGAGACCAAAAACTGGATGCAGGATTCCAGGTGTGACCTCACTAAGGCTTTATAAAGCGGTACTAATACTTCACGTGATTTTGGTTCTATGCCTCTGTTTATACAACCGAGGACTGTATTGGCTTTTTTGGCTGGTAAAATAGCTTGATTCATTTTACCAGGCCATCTTGTATGCTAGGAAGAGGAAGGGAAAGTTTATAGAGTGGTAACATTAACATAGAAGATCTAAAATAATAATAATAATAATAATCCTTGGACATTTTTGCAAGTGAAGGGGAAGTGAGAAATAAAATTCTTGGCGAACGTGTACTTCTGCTCTGCTCATAATTTAAGGGTTATTTGGTTTACCCATTGTCTAATTGGTTTGTAGATTTCAATTTCCTTTCCTTAAGTTCTCAGACAGATATAGGAAACATCATCAGTGCTAGAAGGAAGAGGGGTATGGGAGGAGGAGGAGGAGGAGGAGGAGGAGGAGGCCTGTGGGGTCCTTGGTTCTCTCTGAGCTTGGCTGTTTTCTTGCAGACATTTCATTACCCAACTAGGGAACATCATCAGTGCTAGTCCATGGAAATGTAAGAATTCTTCATTGCTATATTTGCTGTGATGGATTCTGATGTAGTTATTCTATCTCTTTGTTGATCTAGGTCTATTTTGCAGCAGCTCGTCTGGGGTCTGACCTTCCCACGTTTCCTTGGGGCAGGTAAGTGAAGAAACTGGGGAGAGAGGATGCATCCCTCGGCAGCTTCATGTAGAGATGACCATGTTGTTTCTTCCCCAGTGGAAGTGGAAGAGGAGGATTTCAGTGGGTTCCCGTCCAAACAGAGTTGTATCACGGTACAAACACAATATTTCTTTGGGAGTGATGAGAAATCCTTCAATGGCATTCTGGATTGTATCAACTGTTCTAGGTAGGTGTCACTTCGAAGCTCTTCACACATTTTCCCCCCTCTTAATAATGTTTAAAATATAAAGAAGCAAACATCACAGGTGCATAAATATGGCTTTGCAACCTTTAAAACAGCCACTTCCCCACCCCTGAATTGCTGCTTTTAAATGACTGCAGAAGGAGAGTACATACAGTAGTGGCCAAAATTGTGGAACCCTTTTGGGAAAAGTGTATTTTTGAGGTTGTATGACTAATAACACCACTTTCTTTTGGGAGTAGTATCATAAAATTATATATCAATGGAAAGATAATTTAATCAAGAATGTAATGCAACAAAGTTTGTTCAATTATCTGTACTGTAGTCTATGAAAAGTTATAGCCAAATAACCAGAAAAAGGAAGCACAACTTGCTTAGGTTGATCTCAGGTAGCTTTCCTTCATCTGATTGTAGCCAATGAGCACGAGTGTTTAGAGAGCCAATCAGGTGTCATCTTGTTTTGGCAATGAGCCAATCAGATCACAGTAGAATTCAGTGATTGATGTCATGTATTGAAGCTGAGAGGAGGACATTTGTCAGTGTGTTATGTGATCGTTATCAAGTTGATTGGTTTTTTTTTGTGTTCTTTCATTTAGTGAGCTTGTAAAATGTAATAAAATTAAAGTAATGGTGCAAAGAGTTGACTGGTTGCCCAGAAAGCGATGTAAAATAGTATTATTAAGTGACCAAGGCTACAGTTGTAAAGAAATTAGAAGAAAAATGGGTGGAAACTGAACCAAAGGTGGCATTTCTACTGTACACTTTTCCCAAAAGGTTTCCACCATTTTGGCCACTACTGTACGTGCTCTTTTGAAGATCAAATCTGAAATTCTGCACAATTTATGTGTATTTCAATAGCATGTGTTTTGCAGTCCTTATTATGGAACATTATGGAATAGAAGGTGTGAGAAGCGCATCGCTTCAAGCATGAAGGTAGCCATATTCCTTGCAAGGGTCAGCATGATGCTTTTCATAGGATTGCAACTGAAGCAGAACGGTGTCAGTTGCTTCATGAACCTTCTTCGCTCTTAGAAATAATGTGCCAGGCTCCATAAACCAAGAAAGACACACTGTGATTCTTCCAAGCAATTTTTTTTTTAAATGATTGTTCCTCACCTAAAGACAGAATCTTGCCAAACTAAAGCATGCTAACATTTCCATAAAGCATATACTCTGGGAACTGTTGAGGAGGAAGCGTCTTCACCCTGTTTCTCTCACACAATCTCTCTCAGCTGAGTTGCCTTCTGCTTCCCCTGGAAGCACTCTGGAATCCAGACTGCATTTCCATCACACAACTGTGCCAAATCACTATTGCGGCTATTCCAGACAGTATTTGAACGAATCTTTGTACGTTAATACTGACATTTCCTGGAAGAATGAGGGCAAGACTCGTTTCCTGGATCTCAGCCTTTAACTCCTTGGTGTCATTTTGGCTTCCCTCCTCAGGCTTTTTCACGCAGAGAAGATTTCCAACACCAATTTGGTTTTCATCATGAGCGACAGTAAAGAGTTGTGTCATCATTGTGATGCGAGGCCGTTGATGCAAGCAGAGAAGCCTGGTATCCTTTCCTGCTTGGCTTGAGACTGGTTGTGTATTTGCTTACAAAAGAATATTGGAAACAGCTGGAGAATCTGATTCTAAACTATAACCTGGATCAGTAGTTGTTTTGAGTCTGTGTGTGGGTGTGATGTTATGTTATTCCACACCAGCCTTCTTTCTGTACAGTCTTAATATGTTCATTACCATTGACCGGTCCATTGATTGTGTTCCATTAAGTCAGCATTGATTTTTAGCATGTAGACAGAAATAGATCTTCTCCAGGATAAAACTTCACCATAGCTTTAGAACAATATCACTAATTTTATTTTATTTTTTAAAAAACCATTTTGGTCTAGTGGTGAAGGCACCAGGCTAAAAACCAGGAATCTGTGAGTTCTAGTCCTGCCAAGGCATGGAAGCCAGCTGGGTGACTTTGGGCCAATCACCAATAGACAGTGAGTTCTAGTCCCACCTTAGACACAAAAGCCATTTGGGTGATTTTGGGCCAATCACCAGGGAACAGTGAGTTCTAGTTCCACCTTAGACACAAAAGCTGGTTGGGTGATTTTGGGCCAATCACCAGGAGACAGTGAGTTCTAGTCCCACCTTTGACACAAAAGCCATTTGGGTGATTTTGGGCCAATCACCAGGGAACAGTGAGTTCTAGTTCCACTTTAGACACAAAAGCCGGTTGGGTGATTTTGGGCCAATCACCAGGAAGCAGTGAATTCTAGGTCCACCTTAGAGACAAAATCTGGTTGGGTGATTTTGGGTCAATCACCAGGAAACAGTGAGATCTAGTCCCACCTTAGACGCAAAAGCCAGTTGGGTGATTTTGGGCCAATCACCAGAAGATGATGAGATCTAGTCCCACTTAGGCACCAAAGCCAGCTGGGTGACTTTGAGGCATTCACCAGGAGACAGAGAGTTCTAGTATCACCTTAGCATGAAAGATAGCTGAGTAGTTTGGGCCAGTCACTCTCTCAGCCCAACCCACCTCACAGGGTTCTTGTTGTGGGGAAATAGGAGGAGGTATTAGAAATGTTTGCCACCTTAAGGTATTTATAAAAATGATAAAGGCAGAACGAAATAAATAAATAAATAAAACAAAACCAGTTAAGCGATTTACTCTTTCTATGTATAACAATTCTTGCCTCTCTCTCTCTTTTTTAATGATATCAGCATTACAGTATCTTATCCTCAGCTCACGTCCAATATATTCTCCATATTATCATTTTTTTCCCCTTGGTCTTTCGGTCCCCAACCTTTCTCTACACACACGACAAGACAATTCACCAGTATGCCTTCTACTCTACAGGATAATGAAGATGACGAAGGATTAGGTCACACAATCCCACCCCATAAGCCTCTTGGACTGAATGAGATAGCCTTCTAAGCCTACCTCAAATACACGCCCAGCCTTATCACAACAAGAGGAAGCATTAGACGGTAGAGATAAAGCCCCAACAGATTGCTGGCTCCAAAGCTAGTGGTCACCAAGGTTGAACGACGTTGTCATCAAAATGGACACGTTCAGTTGGAGCTCCAGGATTGGTTGGCTTACGGAACCTGGGACGGGGTGGGCCATCTTGTTCTTTGCTCAGATAGCAAAAAGCTCTTCTCTCCCTCTTCACCTCATTCTGTTGTATAAGTGAAGAGGAAGGTTGTGTTGTGTTGTGTTCCTTAATCAAGGGGCAGATGAAGGACCCAATCCCTGTGAAATGGTTCAACACCCCAGGTACAGAAAAGGACCCGACGCCTGCTTTGATGATGCTAAAGTAAGTCTCCTCTTTTGAGGAAGGGGCTTCTTAGACATAAGATCTTTTCTTTTTCTCTTTCTCCCCTCCTGAGAATAGTTTCCATCTTTGACTTTACTTTCTCTCTCCCTCTCTCCCTCTCTCTCTCATTACACATACTGCTCGTTCCAGATCAGAGCCGTTCTAATGCAAATGCTCTCACAATTAACATAAAACCAAGGGCTGCTTTTTCCGAGCTGCAGTGATTGTGCTTTCACACACAATTTCTATCTTAAAAAATAAAAATAAAAATAGGACAGTCTGTGCTGGCTTTCTCTGCACAGCCATGGCACACTTCCACGGTGGCTTCAAACATCCTTGAAAACTGAACTTTTAGATATTATGTTTTGTTTTGTTTTTTTTCCCCTCCCTTCCTTCTGACTCACGGGCATAATGCATTTTCCCTGTTCCAAAATCTCTTTATTCGTGGGCACGCTGTGATCTGGAGGATATTACTTCTCTGTTTCAAAGAATTTTCCTTGTAAAAGGATGGTGCACGATCACAAGGACGCAGATATAATGACTTAATTTTGCTCATATTATAAAGCGCCCATGATATTAAATAATAATAATAATAATAATAATAATAATAATAATAATAATAATAATAATAATAATAATAATAATAATAATAATAATAATAATAATAATAATAATAATAATAATAATAATAATAATAATAATAATAATAATAATAATAATTGGTGTCCTCACGATTGCTGGGCTCCAGCAAAGCAATTTTGGAACAAATATTTAAGTTTGACAGAAAAGGTTAGATCCAAGAGAGAGGGTTTAATTTAGGAATAAATATTTAATTTTGACAGAGAAAGTTAGATCCAAGAGAGAGGGTTTAATTTTGGAATAAAATATTTAACTTCGACAGAGAAGGTTAGATCCCAGATAGATAGATAGATAGATAGGAATAAAAGAGGCTACACATACATACACTCACATATATATATAGGTGTGTGTTAAAACCTCACATGTTGGAACACAAAGATTATGTTGACTTTCAACTGTTCAACAGGGGAGTCCTCCATAGAATTTCAGACTGGTGGTTATACAGAACATGACAGTCATGAAAACCCATGATTTAAAAGGTTTTTTTTTTTAACAAAGTTTTTTTCTTTTTTTAAGGTGGTGGACAACTTATGAAATAAAAGTTCCCTATCTTTATTTGGGATTCAATCTTTGCTAAGTGCAAAGATTGAATCCCTCCTTATTTGGGCCTCCTGAAATACCTCCAACGTCCCTTCCAGCCAGTGGTGGGATTCAAATATGTGAATAACCAGTTCTCTGTGTGGATGCCGCTTCCAGAGGTCCATTCTGGGCCTGGGCAACAAAAAAAAATTAGCTACCGGTTCTGCCAAAGTGGTGCGAACTGGTTGAATCCCACCACTGCTTCCAGCCCTAGGAATCCATGATTCTGTGATTCCAAGGGAGTTTCCCCAGGACACAATTTTACAGTCCAAGATGTTGGTTTAGGTTGCAACCCTAAAGGTGCTTTTTCAGGAGGCAACTGGACTTTCTTGTTTTTCTTTGAAGATGCTTTACTTCTCATCTAAGAAGTTTCTTCAACTTCTTAGATGAGAAGCAAAACATGTTGAGATTGTAGAAAGAGTGCAGAGAAGAGCAACAAAGATGATCAGGGGACTGGAGGCTAAAGTATATAAGGAATGGTTGCTGGAATTGGGTATGTCTAGTTTAACGAAGAGAAGGACGAGGGGGGACATGATAGCAGTGTTCCAATATCTCAGGGGCTGCCCCAAAGAAGAGGGAGTCAAGCTATTCTCCAAAGCGCCTGAAGGCAGGAGAAGAAGCAACGGATGGAAACTAATCAAGGAGAGAAGCAACCTGGAACTAAGGAGAAACTTCCTGACAGTTAGAACAATTAACCAGTGGAACAACCTGCCTCCAGAAGCGGTGAATGCGCCAACACTGGAAGTTTTTAAGAAGAGACTGGACAGCCATTTGTCCGAAATGGTATAGGGTTTCCTGCCTGAGCAGGGAGTTAGACTTGATGACCTCCAAGGTCCCTTCCAACTTTATCATTATTATTATTATTATTACATCTTCAAAGAAAAACAAAGGAAGTCCAGTTGCCTCTTGAAAAAGCACCTTTGGGACAACCATGACCTGGATGACAGAGAGTCTCCAGAGACCTTTAGGTTGCAACAAAGGTGTGTGTTTGAAGTCATAAGAACAACGGGTTTTAGCAATGAAAACGTTGACCTATGAGAACTTCTGCTTTGCTGGGAACAACGCAAAAAGCTCTGTGAAACGTTTGACGATTTCCCTGATCAACACCACTGGGCATTTGTGTGTGAACGTACAACGGAGTCTTGCTTATTAGCTTGATGTGCCCTGTTAGTCATGCAAGGGTAACACTTTGGTATTGTGGGGTTAAGTTTCCTTTCCAGTTCTTTCTCGTAAAAATTCTTTGCTTTTTTTTTTTGCTTTTCACGTTATCTCTTCGGTCAGCTAGCCAACTGCATGGAGTTTCATCTTCTGTGTGTTTCTTCTCTGTGTCTCCTTTCCTTTTCCTCTCTTTGCTACTTTGCCCGTTATGAATAGGATCAGCCTCTGTGCACGCGGAGCTTCGCCACCGCCATGACGCCCACTTCTGTCTTCATTTTTCTGCACGTTTTCATGTGGTGTGGATGGTCAGTTACTTTCTCTAATTTTGTGTTTTTATTTCATTTCCCCTACCCCAAAGTTGTTGGTTTGTTGTTGTTTTTTGCAAGAATATAAAGGGAACTAAGAATGCACAAAACTGATGACAAAGGGATGAGTGATGTGTAGAGGCTTGTTCAGAACTTAGTTTCTCTCAGAAAGAGGTTAGGAGCGGGGTAAGATCCTTCCCCTTCCCCTCTCCCTTCCCCTTCCCCTTCCCCTTTCCCTTTCTACTTCCCCTTCCCCCTCTCCTCCCTTCTTCCCTCCTCTCCTCTCCCCTCCCCTCCCCTCCTCCCTTCCCTTTCCCTTTCTCCTTCCCCTTCTCCCCTCTCCTCCTTTCTCCCCTCCCTTCCTCT